CATAACCTTAAACATATATCCCTTAGGAACGAAGGGAGTATAGATTTTTTGTCTTTAAACACACAAAATTTTATCATAAAATTCTATAATAAAAACATATATTTTTATCATCAAAATTATAATCGAAGCTCTTACCATAAGTAGAGTTTTGAAAAAGAAACCTAATTGGTCTCCCTAGACAAATAAAAGCCAACAAAGAAGTGAAAGAAAGAAAAGTGATGGCGAGTAGGTTCGGTAAAAGAAGCTCATGGGATTCCATGGACCCCATACACATAATGCTTAATGCTTATAGCTAATTATGGTCATAAATGACTATACATCATTAAGGCACAAATATAGAATTGTTAAGTAAGAATTACTTTACAGCTTACAAAATGAATTTATAATAAAATTTTGATTGATATCTAATTAAAGTCAAATGGATCTTTCATTATAGTACTCTCTTGTTATACCACAAACAGAAAGTAAAAGTGAGATTATGATGTTTGAACCGTCTATTCATGTTAACGTGACCTGAATATCACATGCTCTGCTTTAGCCTTTTTAACACTTTAGTAAAGAAATAGAATATTAAATTATTGGGATTTAATCAATAAAATTCCTTAAAATTAAAGTCTTTAATTCATCATAGATAGTCCCCACTCTACTGTTCTTAATGATATTGTTCAATTGTTTTTCTTTGTTTTGTCTAAACATGATAATTGCGTGATGAGGTATGAAATTAATTAACCATGGACCACAATATAGATAACTATCAACCTAACTAATTGTTTAATTCATTCGATCTTCTTAATATGTAAATGAGAGAGGGGGTTTTTAACCAAATCCCACGCGATTTAGTCAAATAAAGCTCATTTAAAATTTGGGATAATGACATTATAAACTAATTAATGTGATTCGGAAACGGATTTAACATCCATATGCATGTATTTTTTCCTTAATTATATAATAAGTTGTGATGTTAACGCGTCTCATTAGGGGGAAACTAATTTGAGTTTGACCTTTCAACTAATACATTAGATTCCACCAAATGTAGTACTCATGACTACACGCCAAAAATGTTAAAAAGTGTCTCACAACTCTCCAAAATGTTTGCAATAATTTTTATGATAATGTTTTGTAATTTTAGATGTGCTTTTTCATATTTGTTAGTTACGAGATTGAGATCTCCTAAACTTAACTATTGATATACATGTAAAATATTAGAAGCTATAGAAGGATTGGACACAAAGATCCCTTGTTTGTCCGAAACTTGCTATCAGATTTGTATAAGAATTTGTAGCTTTTGAGTAGGTCCAGTAGGATATGAAAAAATATCATTATTTATGAATTAAAATCAATTAACATGATATAGCATTCTAATACATGATATAACAAATAAACCAAACTCAAACAAAAATAAATCCACAAATATCACCTCTACTCTACTCAAACCAAATTAGAAATTTTGTAGTCATTATTACCTACATTATACATGGGATACTTTGGATGTGGAAGTTTAGTTTATATTCTTTGCTTAGGAAAAATATAAAAGTTAACATAGAGATTAAATAATTCAATAGGGGTTAAAGAATCATAATTAGATCCACACTAACGCGAACTAGAAAACACAACCCAAATTAATAATGCGAAAACAAAAAAGAGTGAAGAAGAAAATCCATAGAAGGTCGGGACCCACGACAACGAACGATTTCACACTCGCGCATTTCAACACTCGCGCCAACGCGTGTGGTTCAAACGCCATGTAACCGCGCGTGGTGACAAGAAAAACAAAGACCAGAACAGAACAGTGTCAACAAAATAATCGTTTCTTTCTTTTTTGCACTCTTTGGGGTTTAACGATTATGGCGTGAAAT